TATAATCATCATACTGAGTAGCTAAAAGGCATTAACGACCTTCAAATTCATCCATTATTTTTCGCTGCAACCAAAATAACCCATCTAATGTTCTTTGCTATTTGTGTGAATAGTCAAATAGCTAACTCGATACAATTTGAGTTCCGAAATGTACTTAACAGTGCTATTTTGACGTATTTGTATATTAGAGTACGGACACTATGACAAGCACTGACAATCAGACGTACATGACATAAATTTCAAAGGTTTGACAAATTGAGAGAATTAGGAGAAAGATGCAAGTTTGTGCAGTTTCCAACCGTCAGAATACGGGAGATTAATTCACTCTATTCGAATTTCCATCGGATAACGTAATTCTACAAAAATGGAAACAGAATATGATGCGGTCGGCATGGAATATAGGTTCAGGCCACAAAATTTGCGAGGTATTCAAATCTCTTGGTAGGATATAGAACATTTTTCAACGCATTTTTATCAGGTACACTTCAGAACGGAAGATTTGATGTTGATGAATAGGATCGCATTGAGAGAAAGAGCCGAACCCACAATTCATAAACTGAGCGAGTATCGAAAAGAACCTTATTCCAAAAATATCCAACTGAACGTATATATATCTACATGTAAGAGACTTATTTCATAGAAATAGTATATGTATTTCCTTGGTATATATGTACATACCAACTTGATATCGACCTCCATTGAGGTCCTTCAGCCTTATCATTCAATATTTCGAGAAGAAATAATTTTCTAATCAATTTATCGTACCCTTTTACCCACTCGAGGAGATGGTATACACTCTGATACAAAAATTATTGACAGAGAAAGATATATGGATGTATTCTTCCCTGGACTTGTGGAGGATAGAAGATGCGAAGATCCTTTATCTAAGCGAAAAACATATTTTTGTCCTTGTCTGTCAGGCAAAACATATGGTTTGCTTCAAAATCGTTTGTGGTTATGTTTGATTGTCACTGCTTGTCTAGTGTCCGTACTCTAATATACAAAAAACGTCAAAACAGCAGTGTCAAGTACATTTAAGAACTCTAGATACAATGAGGCTTTTTACGAGAATCAAAATAACCAGTAGCCGAAACACGATGTTTTCGATTTTATTCCTATTTGATTTTTTTTAATTCTAAAACTGGCTTAGTTAGTTTGGCTATGGTCTACATTCACATCATGCTTTCGCTACTTGCTCTTCGAATTTTCACTTTCTAACCACATGAAGTAAACTGGAACATCTCAACAATTACTTTGAAAGAACTTTCGGTTGATATCTGAATGTTTTTAAATTGGTTTCAGGGTCTTTTCTCTTCTAATAAATTCCATTATCAAACATAATATACTTATTCCAAATAAGGGATTTTTTTATGATTTTGAGATAAATAATTTTCAAACATCCCATGGAGTAATTCTGGGTAAATCAAGAAAAAAATCTTGGAATTGTGGTCGTCAAATCAACTGATTATTGAATCTCAGTTCCTGATATATCTCAAATTGAATAAAATAATTTCATGTTGAAAGTCGACCCATAGTAATAAAGTATCATTGTCTTTATTTTCACAACTTTCGGAGTGTTGGAATAACAGTCTATTGAATCTTGAAACAAAGTGATGGTCATTCATGTTCAATACCCCACAAAAGTAACGCTTTTCTCGACAGAGCAGTAAAAAAACGGGAGAATGTTCACAGAGATAAACTTTGTTAGACTTTAGTCCTATTTCGTGAATTATAGGCGATTCAAAATAAGCGATACACCCTCTTGCGGATATTCAAGTAACTAATGGAAAGTACATTGAATGTTTGTCTACATTCAAGTTTCCATGCATTTTATCGAAAGTTAAGTGGTCCTTGTGATATTTTTCGAGCTTAAAATCTTCAGTAGAGTATCTTCAATCAGTATTGCTCAGTTTCACATGTTATTCCTGGATGTCCTTTCACTGCATTTCACAGAATATGGTAATTTCAATCACTGTATAATAGAAAGATTTTCTCTCAACTTCGAGATTGAATTCTGTTGCATTTATTCCCAAAAGTGAAAAGTTACAGAAGGAATTTGAAAAAATGAAATGCTCGCTCAAAAGTAAAGCACACGATAATATGTTCAATTTTTCGTACTAGGTTGATCAATTATTCGCACATACATCCAGCTTTGGTGACTTTTAGCCTTTTATAAACTATAAAATACATCTCCTAAACCTACTCTGTGAACTTCAACATCATATTCACTCTACTCAATTTGGAATATTCATTTTACTACTGAATGGGAACGAAATGCAACTAATAATGTAACCTCAAATTGGCCATTTTTATTGCGAATCTCATGTAGATAAAGTAGTGAAACATACTCCCTCGTATCACAAGAGTACACAAATAAACAGTCAAAAGTGAAGTTTTCTTTGCTTAAATCACTGTCGAAAAGTCGAAATGATATACGCAAGCAAATAAACCTTCTCAAAACAATGTACTTTCATATAGTTCCACAATCAGCCATTTTGGCGCTGCGATCTTAAATTCAGTCGCCCATCACAACATGCAGATATTATCAACCGAGTACTGCATCCTTTCTTTCATCTCTGGGTAGGTATCAGATGGTATCAGTCAGGGTCTACTCTATCTCACCGGGTCGTAGTCTATCCCCTCTACCTCGATGCTGAAGTCACACTAGTAGGTTGAGATTTCACAGTACCGATTTATGATGTAAATTCAATATTAATGAAAATCAGGACCTTGTACTACGGAATACTATTTTTTGCCAATTTGGAATCGGTTTAAAATGAAACTGACTCAGTATATCAAACTGGGATAATGCATCAATTAAATTGTGAGAAATTTATTGAGCTACCTACAATGAGTCCGAAATAAATTAGAAAGAATGAGCGCGTAAAAATTTGTCTAGTATTATACCTACCTAATTTCACCGTATTAACGATTTCGCGGTAATTCCCTATAGGTAAAGGGCAATGCACGTTTTATTACTCATGTTCCAGTTTTGGTCTTTCGGTATTTTGAAAACTATACTGAATATTGTGTTGAATAATACATATGAAATATAGCGGAATTCAGTCAAATAATGAGAAAAGAAGAATCATCAGACTTTCCGGATGAATATGAAGCTTTGGGCCCATTTTTTAGTTTGTGAAATATATATTTTGTTATAAGTACATGTTATTTTGTAATATCTGGCAATTTTTTCTCTTTTATTGTGTTGAATATTTTCAGAATGGCTTCCGTTTAGTATTGTGTGTATGAGAACTACATATTTTCTGTTCTTTTTAATTTTCATATTTTGAAAATGTTTTCAAATCAATTTATCTTCAATAATATGCGATTATTTCTAATATATATACTCTATAGCTGAAAAGAATTGATTCGCTGTCAGGGTTTTTGCGTAATAACTTCTACTCGGGTAGATATATAATTTCTAACGTCATCAAAGTGTGTCCAGATTATCTTTAGACATAAACGCTGCTAAAATCCTCTGAGATACAGTAAAAGTGTATCATATTGATTTGTAGACAATGAAATTTACTACAAAAAAGTCAGTGACAGCGTATATCCACAACTAATAGGTTTAGCATGAGGGCCGTCTAAACTTTTTGAACTAGTCTGTTATAATCATCTGAATCACCATTTTACTTGAATTGAAATATCGGTTTGTTATGCGCAGTTGGTAATTTTGAAAAAAAATACAGTCAATCTAGATACTATGAGAAGCCTTTGCATGGTTGAATCATTTCTGTAAATTGAATATTGAAATTCTAGCAGCTGTTTGAAAAACGACAATTCTGAATGTAGTCAATTCATTTTGATATGCTATATTTCTTGAACTATCAATCGTAAATCACTGAATATTGATTCATCTCTTGAAAGTCGAGTCTGTACATATTTGAACTCTTGACATTTTTTGATAACTGTTACCGTTTTCCCGTGGTACATCAATGAATTGGGAAACGCAATTTCCAGCGCCTCGATTTTGTCCCTACTAGTGTGACGTCACGAAAGCGATGCTCCGGCCCGGTGGCATATTCATATGTTACCGACACAAAACGACAATCGAATTTCCGAGCGAAGCCGAACACGTAATCATAAGTTACTGACCTAATTTTCAGTTTATGTCAGTAACTTAACGGTTGGTAACGAGCCTGTCGCTGTTTGCTGGCAGTGGGAGAGATGCAGTTTTTTCGTCATAGAAACGTTTTTTTCTCCAAATGACATTAAAAGTGGATTTTTAAAGATACTTAACAGGCAGAAAAGGTGTACTTTTACTGCCTAGGCAGAAAAAAATTGTTGCTATGCAACGTTCCAAGTAATTTGAATCAAATTGGTAACCAAATTGACAATGACTATGGGCGAACAAAAAATGACGGATTATTCGGACTTTGCGTGAAATTGAAAAGAATTTGGAGAAAAAATCGTATGATTCTCCTAGTAAAACAAATAACTATTGAGTGAGCCCGTGCCACAGTGAGCTAAGCGTCCGATTGCCACAACTAAAGGGCTCGAAATCAGTCTTCGCGAGATTAAGATTTTTTTTCAACTCAAGAAATCTCAAGAAGTTTTCCGTAAAATATCCTTTATGAAAAGAAGGTTCACTCATGGCTTATTAGGTTAGACTGTTTGAAGAGGCAGTCTCCTTTGTTCTCTATAATAGTAGTCCGAAAAATATACTTTTCAGGAAAAAAGTTCAATTTGGCCGAGGTAGGTCTTGTGCAGAAAGGATATTTTCCTTCCTCATATTCGCAGAAAGAAATAATATAAATAAAAAGTTATGAAATGTACCGCGTTGCTTGATCTAGGCATAAGTTACCGACGGAATCCTAAAGTTACTTGAGGTTACGTCTGTAACTTAAATAAAATCGTTCGGATTTCCGGAGCGGCTAGTTGTGTCGGTAACATATGAATATGCAGCCCGGTGAGGTAGAGTAGGCTCTGTATCAGTGCCACCGATGACTCCAAACAACACAACCATCCTCAACACCACTCCCCTTCCTTTCCAGGCTCCAAATTCTCGTTCGACCCCAGCACCGACGACGCCAGCTCCCTCCTCGAATACGACAACACTGGCTCGCGGCGCTCCCTAGCGGACACCAGCGTCACCTCCACGGCCGACCTGTCCGTCTTTTCCGCCGTGACGCGCTCGCACGCGCTCGACAACAGCATCGACACGCACAGCAACGTGTCCGACAACTCGGTGGGCGGGGCCAGCTCGGTGGGTAGCGGACTTGGCGTGGCTCGCGGCACCAGCGGCCAATCCACGCCGAGAGCCACGCCCCGTCACCCCAGCCCGGACGTGCTGCGCATCTACGTGCCGTACTCGCCGTTGGACACGCCCATCGCGAGCCCGCACAACGGGGAGGTGGTAAGGGTGCCTGGCGGGTTCCCGGAGACGAATAAGATAAGGATCAGGGTGGACAACGACGAGTTGGCGACGCCGCTGGTGGAGCACGGGCAGATCAAGAGTTTCAGGGTGGAGAGTCAGATCGATTTGAAGTAGTATTAGGTTTTTCGAGCAATTGTCCATATTAGAGTGCCTCGAACATCTCATTTTACGCTCTTTGAAAAGTATGGACACAGTTCTCATATTGTTATTGTTAAACAGCTGAACAAATAACATGAGACACTATAGTTACATACGCTATTTTTCCTACAACTGTCAAAAAAGAGGACTTATAATGTAAATGATTAAATAAGCGAAAAGCATGAATGAAATGGAAACCGCGTTGATTTGTTCGCTTGCTGCCTTGCTTGATCCCTTAAAGGAGCCCATAGACTACGTTGTTGGTGGAATGTTTTGTTCGTCGAACAAGTATGTTCGAACAAAAATAAGTGTGTGGTATGTGGCTAGCGAAAACGGTCATTTTGCAGCCACACACTTCGGTTTTGCGTCGTTTCTGTTCAAACAGACTTGTTCGTTGAACAAAACAGCCTACCAACAACAGAGTGTATGGGCCCCTTTCAAGCAAGCATTCATTCCATCGAATAGCAACAACCGTGAAGAAGAGGGTACTTTTTTCACAACTTTTCCGTAAAATAATGAAACAGCATTTTGATTTTGAAAAATTGTACAATTTAGGCACACAAAATACTTTTAAAATGTGCAGTTTTTCTGACAGTTGTAGGAAAATATATTAATCATTCCAGAATTACGTCATTTGACAGGTTGCTGAGGGGCAAACATTGTATTTGGCATGATCTGTCATAGAAAACCAGAATTAGTGAGATCGTTTTCCTTGGAATCCGAGTTGGAACTAGAAAGAATTTCATAATTTTGTTTGGTGAAACTGTTATTATATTGTGGATGTGGCAGAGGGACGGCCTGGGCAATGCTCATCAAAGGTAAGCTAACAGATAGTTTGTGTGCCCCTCAAGAAACCATGTCAAAATCACGTGTTCTGGAATGATCAATTTTATAAGAGATGGCATGTCATTTTTCTGTACACGTTCATTGAACGAGTGCAGAGATTTTTTTATCTGAAACCCTAACATTGGCGTAACACCAAAGGTACATAATGCTCTTTGTGTAGCTATATCAATATTATGTCAATGAATGTATTACCATGAAATAAATATTGGAATTTATTGAAGCTTCAACAAACACTTCAAATGTGGTCTCGTCTTTGAGCAACTCTGATAAATGTTAACCATCATTCTTAGAATTTTTGCACTTCGTTACCGAACAAAATAATATATTCGATAACATTTTCGCGGGGACTCCTATTCAGTTTTCAGAACTGACGTTTCAAATCTGAGATTCGTAATTGTCATCGTTGACAACCGTGTCCACACTCTTTGAAGGTCATAAAATGAGATGTTCGAGCCAACCACTCGAAGTTTTCAACTATGCCAAATTGACCAATGCCAATTTGAAATGGGAATTTGTTGGCTGATCTCAATCATACAAATTGTTTTATGTAGCTCAGATCAAACCATCACATATTGTCGGAGTTGTTTGACATGCACATTAACGTATTGAAAAACTCGGTGGGCGGGCCTAGTTCGGTCAGATGAACCATTTTGATAGGATGGTCCAGCTCGGTGGGAGCGCGAATACAGTGATTTGGTTAGCTCAGTGGGCTGGACTAATTCAGTGGGAGGGGCCAGTTCAGTGGGCGGGACCAGTTCAGTGGGCGGGACCAGTTCAGTGGGCGGGGTCATTTCATTGTCCTACGAGGTGCGATCGATGAGAGACCGGGTTCGCTTTGGGAATCATGCATTATTATCATTTTCGAGTGTTATTCACAGATGTCAATTGTTGAACTCACTGAACCGTTGTACAAACAATTCATTTGCAAACCCTCATAGGTACTAACATGGGTACTTCAGAATGCAGTTACTTTCATGAATGTCTGGTTGGTTCAAGAGAATTCACAGGTTCAAATTTGTTGTTCAGATATTTTCAAATTACTTTTTCATTTCTACGAGGAGTTCAATTGCATTCAGGCGATATACATCAGTGTCATTCATAAAGTTGGTATCATATGGAAACAATTGTATTCATTTAATGTGAAATTCGATTTGGGCGTTTGCTTCAGAAGAGATGAAAAATTGCCTACTCGGTCGGAGTCACGTGTGACTATCGCTACACGTCAAAAGTTTAATTTTTTCAAGCAAATCCTGAATTTGAACGTTCTATTGCAACTTTTAGTTCCTGATGTTTTTTCAATTGTAACTTCGACAAAACTGTCCTAAACTTTAGTTAGATACGTAAAGTAGTTAGAAGTACTACTTTGCGCACGCTCGTAGGAAAAATCGATTTGAATGAATTTTGCTCCTGAATGCTCGACGATACATCAACTTTGCATTAAACATAATAGAAATTTAAAATTGGAATAGAAACAACTTTTCTCTGTAAACTTTTTAGAAATTCAAACGAATAAGCCTATTTTCAGAGATTAATTCGAAACAAGTAGTCAATTATTCAATTTTTTTAAGCAGAACTCAACGCCCAAGTGGAATTTTGACCTAACCCTAACCTAACCTGACCCCGAACGAGTAGTCAATTTTTCAATTTTTTTAAGCAGAACTTAACGCCCAAGTCGAATTTTGAAATGAATTATCATCTAAAGTTTTTTCCATATGCTGCCGAATTCATGAATGACACTGTATACAGTGTGTGCAATTTCAACCCACAACACCCTCATAATTTGGAACCCGTCCGATTTTCATGAACAAAAATTTCATTTCAAAAAGATAGTCTGAATCGGTGTGAAATTGAATGATATTCAAGTTTACATCAAATTTGGATTGAAAAATTTAACTTCAAAAAAGTTATGTTCAAAACTACTCGGTACGAACCGTGTAACTAGCGCCCTCTATGAGAGTCAGATATAAAAACAAATTCATGCGATGTGTCAGATTCCAAGATACATTCATACAAAATGGTAGTTTCGGAACAATCGCGAAAAATGTGTAAAAAAATAATTTTTTCAACACCTTGTATCATGAAAACGGATGCCGTTACGACATTTTCTCACTGAGCACACCCAACTTATTTTGCAATGTTCTACCTACCCTAGCAAGGGGGTTAGGTTTTTTTGAAACACCCTGTATATTTATCATTGATAAATCATATTCGTTTCAGGAGGAATTGCAATTTGATTAACATAAAGAGATCCCAAATTTGGACATCATCCAAAATGTTTAAAAGAAAAAGCATGTTATTTTGTTTCGAAAAACAACAGTTCTCGTCAATCTTGATATTATGACATAGGTATTTATTAACTGCCTTGGATGTTCAAATTCACGAATGATTATTTATTTTTATTTATTTATATTTGTACATTTTTGTTGAACATGATAGAATTCTCTCTATTTGATTAAAGATGCACCTTGGTAATAGATACCATATATGAATTTCAAATCAATTTTTATTGATGGGTTTTCTGGTCTAGAATATTGATATTAAATCATTATTACTAACACTATTGTTAAAGTAGTAATATTATTAAATAATATAAATACTATTTCTTCTTTATACATTTCGGACATATCTTTTCATATTCATTTCACATTCCAACATACATCATTATATATAAAAATGATATAGATTACATATAGAAAATAATATCCAAGATTCCTTTCCTATCAGACATTCCATTTCATTGCTTTTTTTTTTCTAGTGATTTTATAGATCTGATTTTGATTTTATTACTGAATCATAATATTTTTGATAGCATAGTTATGTAAGGAATTGTGCCATATATTATTTGCGAAAATATGTTGGAACAGCTTTTGATTTCTTTATTTATTCTTTCTAATCGTATATGTAAGCACATAACATTCAGTAGAACATTCATAAAATAAATATACACTCAGTTCCAAAAAAAGTGATTCACTTGAAATTTGACGTATCTTCTTGAAAACAAAAATAGTAGGCCTTTTTTCTTTTTATTTGCTGGTAGGTAATGCATTTGTCTTAAAAAAAAATAAAGAGGTGAAAATTTTTTCAAAGCCTCCTTGATGGTGAAATAACTCGAATCGTGATTTATTCTTAATTTTTGACACCCTCTGTGTGTTAATTGAGTAATGGCATAGAAAGTTCTTACACCCTATACGAAAGAGGCTTCTTTTGCGAGCATTTGGTTTTTTTATTCATTGATTTATCTCTAAAATTTTCCGAATTTCAGCTTTTTTGCTGAATCCTTGCAGATTACCAACTTTCTGAATTTATCGAGAAACAATTTTCTAATGAAATAAACTGATACCAATAATTTAAAAAAACATTGTTATTAAACACAAAATTATAAATTGGGATGACTGCTTAATACCGTGTATTGCCTCCTCTAGCAACTCTAAGAACTTTTAATCTACGAGGCATACTGGAAATTAAGTTGCTTATCGTTTCCATTGGTATACGATCCCATTCTTCCACTAATGCATCTTCCATTTCTGCGAGACTTTCCGGAGACCTCTCGCGAGAACGTACCCTTTTCCCTAATTCATCCCACAAATGTTCTATAGGATTCATATCGGGGCTTCTCGCTGGCCATTGTAATGTGGTAATACCAGTAGCTTCTAAGAAGTTTCGCACTATTTCTGCGCTGTGTGGTCGGGCATTATCCTGCATCAATATGAAATTATTGCCCACTAATTCTGTATGAGGTAAGACATACTGCTCTAAAATGTCAATGTAAATTTGGGCATTCATCGACTGCCTCACCGGAAAAACATGAAGAGGTGTCTCTCCATTCATTGGAATCCCTCCCCACACCATAACGGACCCACCATTAAAACTTTCGCATTATGTTATTAAATTTTGATTAAACCGCTCACCAGTTCTTCTCCACACTCTTTTTCTTCCATCCACCATGTTAAGGCAAAACCTTGACTCATCCGTAAACAAGACATTCGACCATTCAGGAATATATTCCACTGTCCATAATTTTCAACAAAATTTCTTCTAGCAGCACGATGGCAATAATTTGGGACCTTTTGCAGGTCTCCTAGCTTTTAAATTAACGTCTTTTAGACGTCTACATACCGTCTGCTTAATTACTGCAACATGACGAATTTGGCGAAGATCTTGCTGAACATTTACCGCACTATTTGATCGATTCCGTAAAATCCGAAATCTCAAGAAGCGATCATCTCTTGGAGAAGTTTTTCGGGGGCGACCAGAACCGACCCTCCGAGCGGTTCTTCCTGTTTGTTCGTACTTGCGGATTGCTCTACGAGCGGTTGCTTCATGAACTCCCACTGCACGAGCTGCGTAACGTTTACTACGCCCATCGTTTACTAACGCAACTAATATTGCTACTTGTTCAGGATTTATTTGAGGCATTTTATGTAATTTTAGTCAATAAAAGAAGACACTTAATTAATGACACAAAGACAAAGGTCCGATATGGAGGCATACAACAAATTGGTTGCTATGGCAACGGCATTTGTTTTTTTAAAGACAATGTGATCCTACCACCCAATCAATTTTGAGTACTCTGATCCTTCAATAAATTTAGTTTGTAGGATAAGCGTAAGGTAACTGCAAAAAAGCTGTAAGTCGGAAAATTTTAGAGATAAATCAATGAATAAAAAAACAAAATGCTCGCAAAAGAAGCCTCTTTCGTATAGGGTGTAAGCACTTTGTACACCATTACTCAATTAACACACAGGGTGAGTCAAAAATTAAGAATAAATCATGGTTCGAGTTATTCCACCACCATCAAGGAGGCTTTGAAAAAATGTTCACCCCTTAATTTTTTTTTAAGACAAATGCATTACCTACCAACAAATGAAAAAAAAATAAAAATCGGCCTACTATTTTTTTTTAAGAAGTGCGTCACTTTTCTTGGAACCGAGTGTATTAACAAAAAAATACTACAGATAAATGTCAAGTCCAGTGATCCAAAATTGAATCGTAAAACATCGTCTAGTCAATGCAGAATTGAATAGATTTTTGCAATATGCATGTAGGATTTTTGAATCACAAAATACTAAGTTTGTAATTGTATTATTCCTTATTAACTTTCTTAATTCTCACATTCAAGTCAAGGGTTTCAATCCATCATAATATGATGTTAGTAAAATGCATAACTCTTAATATTATTCAGCTGGAAAAATGGGTCCCGTATTATAATTTTCTCGTATAGAAAACTATAATTAGGTAAGTATTAAAAAAAGTTAAATTGTCAAATTTCAATCAATGTTGTGATTTGTATATAGATGTAAAAGAGTTTTTCTAATAATGATAATGATGATTTTTTTCCTATGATACATTGTTCTTCTATTTTTGTTGATATTAAATCAGACTCATAAGTATTTATCAAGAGTAACATTATTATTATTGATAAAGAACAATTTTTAAGTTGACTATTTATTGACAATGAAAAATATCGTTTATATTTTTTTACTCATGTAACTCATTCACAGTAGACCTCACTGTAAGTTGTGAATTTGAAAGAATCACCATAAATGTTGGATTCATACAACAAAACATTCATTACACTAGATTGAACCCCTGATAATATATTGAACTCTAACATCAAATTTATGGTAAATGAAGTTCATGAATCCAACTTATTTAGACAAGTGTCTGATTTTGTCAGAAATAGTTTTTTAAAAGTAATTGCACTGGTTAATAGGAAAGTTATCTGCTTGTTGAAAGGGTTTTCAAGGATGTGATACATGCAATAAATTGTATTCTACACTTTAAAATTGTAAAATGTTGATCGGTCATAGAATGACTTCTAAATTTCTTAATAAAAATATCCAAAAATACTTCACTGAATTTGTTTCATTGATAGTTCTAAATCACGGTGATATTGAGTTTAGTTTGCAGTATTATCGCTACCTACGTCAAGAAAGAAATTTTAAGTGAATATCTGGCACAATAAATATGTATTCTTAATATCAGAGGTTCAATTTTCGCTTCGCCCTGTAGCTCCATGGCATAATTCAATGTCAAACTTTGACAACCCAAAATGTTCACTTTTTTACCCCTGTGCTTACAGAAAAGAACGTGATTAAAAACGTGACGAAAAATCTTCAACTATCGTCGGAGTCTGTGCCAATAGACCAATAAATAAAGGGAAAAAGTTAACATTAATTACGCACTATTTTCATCTTCCGGTTGGAAGTAGCTTTTGGTACCTCATTAAACTTGAGACAAAGTTTGACTGGAAAACGCGTGCGATGGCGGAGAAAATGACCCCAAAAGACCAGAAAGATAGGTTTTCAGCCAATATCTCCTAAAATATGGCAATTAGAGATTTTCGGTTCAGATAAAAATTGAAGTTCAGTTAATTTTCTACAAAAATGGTCCTTATCATTTTTCTCGAAAATTTGCCCGGTTTCGAGAAAAACGGCACGAAGCGCACCTCGAATAATGAGCTTCTGTTGTATGCCGGAGAGCACAGTCCGTGTATTTACACATCGGCGGGGGGACAAATTATTCAATAACTTTGTTGAAAATGCATATTTTCTCATGATTCGAAGTTCATGTGAAAGAGGAATTCTGCTGCTATCATACCCTGTGAATTGAGTCACGCTTGACTCTTTTGGCCATATCGGAACATGGGTCAAACTTTCTGCTCCCGGTCAATTTTGACCTCGCCAGGAATTTGTTCCTATTTTTTTTGTATTGCACTAATTTATTCAAAATTCTCTTGATTATGGGTCCTCATAAGGTCCTTCGTCATCCCTGAAACTTATATACCCTAATTTTCTTTAATTTTCATTTAATCTTTGTTTATTGAATCCCAATTTTTTGCTGTTTTTGGAGCGCGGGGAAATTTTGTGAACAGCCATCAATTAAAAATTTATACATGATCCGATTGGTTTCTATGATACATCATTTGAAAGCTAAGAAGGTCTACTTTTCGATTGTGCAATTACTTTGTTAGACGAAGTCGTCCATTTTTCAATAAAATTAGAAAAAGCGGGGTCAAGGAAAAAACGCACTTTTTTTTCGGTGGTCTTTTTCTGCGTGCTATTTATTTCTAACATTTTAACACCTTAACTAGTGTAAAGGGGGAATTCCCACCTTTCCATCGATGTATATAAGTCATACCTTTGATATCCCGGGAAAAAACCAGTATATCTAAATGTACACGCTATAATTTATTACTTTCGTTCCTCCGTCGTTCGCCGCGTGTGTGCTCTACGTGGCGCTCGGGTCGTCTGCTACAAACCATGCGGCCACGCAGGGTATGATAGCAGCAGAATTCCTCTTTCACATGAACTCTGAATCATGAGAAAATATGCATTTTTAACAAAGTTATTGAATAATTTGTCCCCCCGCCGATGTGTAAATACACGGACTGTGCTCTCCGGCATACAACACAGAAGCTCATTATTCGAGGTGCGCTTCGTGCCGTTTTTCTCGAAACCGGGCAAATTTTCGAGAAAAATGATAAGGACCATTTTTGTAGAAAATTAACTGAACTTCAATTTTTATCCGAACCGAAAATCTCTATATAACTGCCATATTTTAGGAGATATTGGCTGAAAACCTATTTTCCTGGTCTTTTGGGGCCATTTTCTCCGCCATCGCACGCGTTTTCCAGTCAAACTTTGTCTCATGTTTAATGAGGTACCAAAAGCTAGTTCCAACCGGAAGATGAAAATAGTGCGTAATTAACGTTAACTTTGCCTTTTTTTCCTCCTTCATTTATTGGACTACAAATAACTATTCTATGTAGTGCATATCAATCGATTTTGTTTACTTTTCGCCCTGTAGCTGAGTGACATAATTAACTGCCAAACTTTGACAGCCCAGCTCAAAAACTCAACTACCAAAATGTTCACTTTACCCCCGCGCCCCCCAAAAGACTACACCATAAAAGACGTGACGAAGAGTCTTCAATCATCGTCTCAGTTCAGTCCGGAGTCTGAGCCTAGAGTGACTCAGCACAACTTGGCAAAGTTCTGTTCGCCCATAGAATACAAGGACGATGAACTCCCTGGGAAGGTCTCTTTGGAAATCCATCCCTACATCATGGAGAAAATGATGAATGACGATAGAGCCTCGTGGGTGGTGCGACCGGGAAAAGACGATGTTCTTGTTCATGAGGTGTGCAGAAGGTATTCGGTGAATCAGGATAGGATGAGTTATGATCCGAGGTACATGCACAAAGGTGAGCTGTTTTTGATTATTATTTTTCTGCTTATCGGATAAACCGCGTATACCGTTTGACAAAGATAAGCATAGCCACAGCTGTAGGAAGAAACTTCACTTCCAGCTTGTTTCCTCCTCTAACCAAGGAAGACGGAACACCAGCCATAACTGCCCAGGAGAAAGCCAACATTTTTGCGCATTTATTTCCTGGAAATTCCACTCTGGATTCATCGGGAAAACAACCTCCAAACATAACGCCAAATGACAGTCATATGCCCGAGATCACCTTTCGCCAACGTACTATAAGAAAGATTTTATTGGGTCTCAACACCAACAAAGCTTGTGGCTCCGACGGAATGCCACCGATTGTTCTCAAGGAATGTGCTCCCGAACTAACACCTGTTCTCTGCAAGTTGTTCAACTACTCTTACAAATTGGGGATATTCCCGTCCAACTGGAACATTTCAAGAGTACAACCAGTTCCTAAAAAAGAAAAAAGACCCTACCTAGCAGACCGATCGCACTGCTATCTATTATTTCAAAGATCATGGAGAACGCTTCAAACATCGAGCTCATGAAATACCTGGAACATTCAGGTATTATCCACGATAGGCAATATGGCTTCCGTCATCAGAGATCAATTGGTGACCTACTCGCTTTACGTCTCACATCTATGGCAGCAATCTATTGAATAATATGGTGAAACCTTGGCCGTGGCACAAGGCATTCGATCGAGTCTGGTACCACGGACTCCTCGCCAAGCTTCCATCTTATGGCTTGCCTCCCCAGCTATGGTCGACACACTTTCATCTGAGTCTCTTATCATAAATGCTGGTGTTCCGCAAGGATCAATTCTAGCACCAACACTATTTCTACTCTATATCAACGATTTGTTGGAAGCAACTTCATGCCCAGGACACAGCTTCGCGGATGATAGTGCCCTCCATACCGCCTTCTCTTCCAGGGCTTCAATACCAGCCAGGCAAATCAGAAACAAACGAGGGAGAAATGTTGACAACATAAATATGGACTTGGCAACAATTCTCGAATGGGGATCCAATAAGTTGGTAGATTTCAATGCAAACAAAACACAAGCCCTTTCTCTAGAAAAGCCGATCTCACTGTGCCCAACATAAGCTTGCCAGAAGTAACCATACCTTTGAAGACATCCATTTCGATGCTTGGTATTACTATCAGCAATAACGTTTCTTGGGAAAATCACGTGAGATCAATTGCTAAAAGTGCATCCCAAAAACTTGGTTTTCTGTTTCGGGCCAGGAACTATTTCACTTCCAGTCACCTGCTTATGATCTATAAGGCACAGATTCGACCTGTCCTGGAATACTGTTCCCATATTTGGAGTGCAGCACCTGAACATACCCTGAAACTGTTGGATCATGTCCAAAAAAGGGCAATTCGTCTCGTGAGCGATGCCTCGTTCACAAACTCACTCACTTCTCTGTACCACCTTAGAAAAGTTGGCGATCTGACTCTATTTTATAGATATTTGGACGATGCTCTTCTGAAATATCAACAATTGTTTTCCCCTTGGCATTCCCCGCGAGATTAACCCGTCGAGTTGAGGCTTCGCACCCCTTCGTGGTCACTTTGGAGACCTGCAGAACATCTCTTTCCAAAGGGAGGTGTTCCTCGAGGCATATAACCTCCAGAAATTTAAGAAGAACACCAATTTCTACCTCATTTCCCTTGGTTCTCAAGATGTTCTCAGAACAATTACAGGATATCCCTTTTCGTGGGAACCGGAACATAAGAAAAAACAATGAACTAAAACGACTTTGGCTTGCTTAACTTTTATATATCCTACTTTCCCAACTTGAAGGATTAGTTACGGACAGGTTGGATAAACCGTCATTTTCGGAAATTAGGGACAATATCTACATTAAAATACGGTGTACCGTATTATTACCTACTAAGGAAACAAATTCATCAATGGTGAACTATTAAGGTCTAATTGATCGTTAGGTAAAATGTCAAAATTTTTTAGTTCGCTGATTTCTAATGATTCAAAATGATTGAGTTTCATTCCTTTATTTTCTACGTGTAGAATTTCGAAATTATCATCAAAACTTTGGTCTGGGTCATTAATTCTGATTTTCTGCCATATAAAACAAATAATTTTATCTACAAATTCGTTTCAATTTCACCAAGTCCATTCAATCCATCATTTTGTATTCACCTAAAGTCGATCATTGTCAATTTTGATTACCAATTTGATTCAAATTATTACTTGGAACGTTACATAGCAACAAACTTTTTCTGCAGAAAAAATACACCGTTTCTGCCTGTTAAGTGAGATTAAAAAGCCACTTTCAATGTTATTTAGAGAAAATAATTATTTGTTTTACTAGGCAGCAAAATAGTAGCCACGGCATTCAGCTGCTCATAGTTCATTGCTGGAGAGTGCGTTCACCAATTCTCAGGGTCAGTTTTGATTATCAATTTCCTTCAATTTACTTGGAAAGTTAATTAGCAACAGACTTCTTTTATCTAGGCACTGAAAGTACACCTTTGCAGCCAGTTGAGTGTCATAGAAAAACCACTTTCTATGCCGTTTGGAGAAAAAAGAATATTTCTGACGATTGAACGTAGCGTTAAATTCGTGTAGGTGTTCAATTCTATCAATGTGAACAGTCTACTCTCGGCCTACTGTCGAATTCCTTATTTAATATTCTCTAGAGCCATTTTTCCTGATATTTTTTATAGAAAAAGTGTTCAATCGGTCATACCAGTTCGAATTAGATTGCATCGAAGCGGCAAGACTCGATAAACTTCGAGCCAAATGTGAAGCAGACGATGCGGAATTCGAAAACTCCTTCCAAAAACTGATCAACAACCAGAAAGCCAAAGAAAAACCTTCTATCCAATTGAAACCGTGTAAGGAGGAACCACCATTTTGGTGGAAGAAATCACAAAAGGAAAAAACGGAGAAAGGAGATGAGCCTGAAAAACCGAACGATTTTGGTATGAGCACTGTTTATAGGTCTTCGTATGTCAGATGGCAAGATGAGCCTAATTTAACAGCATTTGTTCAAGATGATCCATGCAGAAGAAAATTGGATATGCTGACGTAAGTACTAAAGAAGAATATGACAGCTAATGACTGATGATTCGAAGGTAATTCCGTACATTTAAACAGCTTCTCTACGAGATTCTTTTAAAATTGAAGATGGGAAAAAACGAATACAGGGTGTATCTATAAATAACACCGGAGAAATTCAAAGGGTGATTCCTTGTGGTATTTAATAAGGAAATAAAGTTCATATAAAAAGATGTCTAACTTGCTTCGTTTTCGAGATACAGGGTATTAATATTTTCATGAAAAATCGTTTTATCATGCATTATTACTCAATCAATTTCAATAAAAGGTTGTGGTTTTGTCAAATAGTATTATGAGGCTTCTTCTGGTGCAATTATATTCGAAATATTTCCAGTGGCGTCACAGTGGGTAAATTTATCGATATTTATGGTAAATGTCATTGTACGCCACCGGTTTTTCTGAGTTTCATATTCTTATTAGATTGAACTATTGAAATAACAACTTTTTTATCCTTTGTGTAATTTTTGTATTCAGCTTAATTTCTGAGGAAACAATAAAAATTCGATTTGACCCAAAATGTTAATGTAGGCGTGTTTTCAAGACTTCCATTGAGATTACTCAATAACCCCAAATGGAATCAATTTGAAATCTTGGGGCTTTCCCAATGTTTTTTCGAAATTCGAAATTCCTATCTCCAAAGATAACTGAGATAGCACGCAAAAGCATGAAAAACTGGACACACTGTACACCAATTAGCTTGATAATGTAGTCCCTTGACCAGCGCAATCGCCTGATTGGACACCGCTGGATTTTTTCCTTTGGAAATACGTTAAAAACTCTGTTCACACAAACAATTTTGATAACGAAGAAGAATTAAGGGACATTGTTTCGAAGTATTCAATAGTATTGCACCAAAAATCTTTAGAAATGTCTTAGAAGTAATTAACTGTAAGAACATAATATGTTTGGAAAGAAATGGTTATAATTTCGAACATTCGCTATGAATGTAATTTTTTTCTATTACTGTGAGTGTTGTTGAAGTTTAGTAATTATGGTAATTCGTCTAAAAATCGAACAATTTAGTGGAATATTACTTTTACTGTTAAGTATTAGATATCTACATCAATGTTTAACACCTGATGATCAGAAATAAGTGTAACTGATGGTATTTCCTCTTTGGAATTTCGAAAAAACATTGATGAAGGCTAAAACTACGTCGAAACACATTTAAACCACCTTGTATAACAGATGGTTGAATTCAGAATAAAAAAAACTTCCAGAGTCTGCGAATACAAATAATCCGTTTTAAAAAAAGTTGATGGTGGTTTAATGAATAAAAAACATCGCGTAGAGGAATCAATATCAACACGTTAATTATCATATGCTGTGCAACCTTATCTTGGTCACAATGTATTTCAGTTTCTTGCACATTTGAATGGAATTCACGCATTTGTGTCCTTGCCTATTGTCAGCTAACCGAGTGTGACTGATGAGGTCTCGCATCTTATTAATATCACGATATCTACTATAGTATACTACCAGTATAATAATCTACTCACGCAACTGATGGATGATGTGGAATTTCGTATAAGTAACAAAAAACTACTTAGACACTTCACTATTTTTCATTTCTTGATGGAGTGCACGAAAGGGAATTCTTATTATAAAGCACACAACTCACTGTAGGCACTTGAGTTCCTATATGTTATTATCACATGAGTTACACTGATGTTGATTCAACACTGCCTATACGTATGTCTACCTCTTCGCACAGCCAACAGACAACTACTGACTCAACATAAAAATTGTACCCTTATTACTCATGAAATACTTGTTCATGAATTACATAAACCCTAATCGCATGGAACCTGTATGTACTGATAGTTAAAATAACTACCTATACAAAAAGAATAATTCATTTTGGTTTGTTTCATCATCTTTCAAGACATATTTTCTCTTTGGAATTTCGAAAAAACATTGATGATGGCTAAAACTATGTCGAAACACATTTAAAGCACCTTGTATAATACATGGTTGAATTCAGAATAAAAAACTTTCAGATTCTGCTAACACAAATAATCAGGACCGTTAAAAAAAAAGTTGATGATGGTTCTATGAATACGAAACGTCGCGTAGAGAAATTAGTATCACCACGTCAATTATCATATGCTGTGCAACCTTATCTTGGTCACACTATATTTCAGTTTTTTGCACATTGAAATTGAATTCACGCACGCATTTGTGTCCTTGCCTATTGTCAGCTAACCGAGTGCGACTGATGAGGTCTCGCATCTTATTAATATTACGATATCTATTGTAGTATACTGTATAGTATAATAATCTACTCACGCAACTGGATGATTAGCAATTTCGTATACCAAAAAATATAGGCACTTCACTATTTTTCATTTCTTGATGGAGTGCACGACAGGGAATTCCTATTATTAATCAATAAAGCACACCACTCACTGTAGGCACTTAAGTTCCTATATGTTATTGTTAAATGAGTTACACGTTACACTGATGGTTATTCGACACTGCCTATATATACGTATATGTCTACCTCTTCACACTGGCAACTGACAACTACTGACTCAATATAAAAATCGTACCCCTATTACTAATAAAATACTTGTTCATGAATTACATAAACCCTAATCGCATGGGACCTCTGTTTATACTGATAGTTGAAAACGAGGTTGAAAACTACCTATACATAAAGAATAATTTATTTCTGTTCGTTTTATCATCTTTCAAGACATATTTTCTGTGTGGAATTTCGAAAAAACATTGATAATGGCTAAAAAACTATGTCGAAACACATTTAAACCACCTTGTATAATACATGGTTGAATTCAGAATGAAAAAAACTTTCAGATTCTGCTAACACAAATAATCAGGACCGTTAAAAAAAGTTGATGATGGTTCTACGAATACGAAACGTCGCGTAAAGAAATCAATATCACAACGTTAATTATCATATACTGTGCAATCTTATCTTGGTGACAATGTTTCTCAGTTTTTTGAACATCAAAATTGAATTCAAGCATTTGTGTCCTTACCTATTGTCAGCTAACCGAGTGCGACTGATGAGGTCTCGCATCTTATTAATATTACGATATCTACTATAGTATACTGCCAGTATAATAATCTACTCACGCAACTGGATGATGTGGAATTTCGTACACCAAAAAATGGACACTTCACTATTTTTCATTTCTTGATGGAGTGCACGAATGGAAATTCCTATTATGATTCAATAAAGTACACAATCACTGTAGACACTTATAAGTTCCTATATGTTATTATTAAATGAGTTACACTAATGGTTATTCGACACTGCCTATACGTATATGTCAACCTCTTCACACTGGCAACTGACAACTACTGACTCAATATAAAAATCGTACCCCTATTACTCATAAAATACTTGTTCATGAATTACATAAACCCTAATCGCATGGAACCTGTTTATACTGATAGTTGAACTACCTATACAGAAAGAATAATCATTTTCGTTCGTTTGATCATCTTTCAAGACAATGACCATAGAATCATTAAATTTAGTAAAAGTTTGAGACGTTCTATCTATCCTAATATCACAACAAAAAAGATTACCATGAGAAACATGTTTCTCTTCCTCAATGATTTGTATTTGCCACTACTGGGTATCTCAAAAACTTCATTAAGAAAAATAAATGAATTATATGTGGTATATCCAAACAAGTAGACCATTCTTGTCTCTAGCTTATTTTCCTCGATGCCGAAGCATCTCGGGATAGCTATATCGCTGATTTTCCGCACTAGTACGGAAAAGTGACTCTTTTAACACTGAAATTAGTGCGGGAAAGTATACTTTTCCTCACGCTAGTCGAGAAAATATCTTCTGTAATCTCGTATACAATCACTAACAACAATTCATGCAGTTTCGGTTTGAATACTCGAAATTTTGGAAAGGTGCGAACGTCTAGTGCAAAAATACAATGTTGTAACAACTAGTTGAATTTTTAAATTGTTGCGTTGATGAAATGATTATCTTTATACCTTCGGTTTTCATTGAAGAATGATCCGACCTGAATTACTTCGGAAATAACAGTTTTCAGAGAAGAAAACGGAAACGCACATGTCAAAAATAAGATACAGGACACATTTTGACATATTCAAGTTCGGTGTCATACTAACCAACCTTCCTTAATCCCAATACAACTGTGCCAATACTGTCGTCATAAGCACAAAGGGCCTAAGTGCAAAGTTCGTCCATTATGAAATATTGATGATCTTAGTATTTCATCCACATGCTCCTCTAACATCACTAGTAGACGAGCGAATTTCGAGAGCGAAGTCGCTTAGTTTCTGAGATAAAAAAAACTGGCGTAGAACCAGGTAAAACCTGGTTCATTTCCTCAATTAGGTGGTCGTGTACACGAAATCACTTTTTACGACATTTTTTAGTGGTCGTGAACTTTTTAATTTCAAAAAACTCGAAAAAATGGATTAATATGTAAAACATGTTTTTTTACGTCTCCACCGTTATATCTCTCAAAGTAATTGTGGTTTTGGGCTGATTTTTTTTTTAAATTAAAGAAGATTCAATAGCGGTTCTAACCACCTTCTTTGTGATTTTGATATATTTTTATTCGATCTGTTGGAATGATAACAAACTTGACATCGATATTTTTGTAGATGTAAATTATAGCAATCGATAAAAAAGTTTATTATTGGAAATTTGTGTATACATTATGCGAACAAAATAGGGAGAATGTATGAAGAAAGTTTTTGGAATGATAATTTTTCATGTATGTATGTATGTATACAGTCAGCGATTTTAACAAAACGGGCTAAAATTACGCTCGGGCGCGCCCGGCTCTCTTACCCAGTTTATGTCTGTCGACTACATAGGTAGCAGATCCTTACGTACGTTATGGTCGGACTTCTGATGGGATAATACCTTTTAATGTTTATATTTCAAAATATTGAACTATCTAAATGATACATCAATCAATGTTTCAAACTAATTTCATTCCTTTTCCTCCAGAATGATTATTTAATCATTTTTGACCGGAACTAAAAACGTATGCATAAAACAACTTTTATTTTTTCAATTATTCCAATAGATTAGGTACATCAAAAGTAAACGACATTTACAATCTTCACAACATTTTAGGCATTCTTTGAAACAACCACATTTTCGACTATCACAATTTTTATCCCAACAAAAGATACTTCATGATTGCCGAACAGAACCAGGAATTGGTTTATCATTCGGAAATATTGAAATCCAAACGTTGTTATTCAAATTCCATCCTGAACCATCTGTATTTATAAGTGGTGTTGCTATGTTGCTGCTGAACCATATTCTGAGTTGATATACCGGGTGACACAGGGTATCGGGCCACCCCTGTAACTTCTGCATTCGTCAACGGATTTTTCTGAAATTCGGTACAGTTATATAAGCAATTATTTCGGATTTGATCACATTACAATCCAATATGGCGGACTTCCAGTATTTCTGGAAATGACAGCAACTTTGTTTTTTCAAATGAAACACCCTGTATATTTTTACATATTCAAGTTCAACAGGTCGAAACAAGTGCAATCTTTATTTCAAATGTAATTTTTTCGAAAAAAATTAAATTAAAATTGTTTTTTCATTTTACCTCGTGGATAAATGAGATGTGGTCAAGACCATTCAAAATGAGTCACACATAACAGAAGAACATAATTTTTTCTGAAAAATTATTTTTTGTGTCACTTATCCAGAAATCAATTCAGCCACATCACTTTTTGATCAAAAATTATTATTTTTCAAATGGAACCCCTATGGGCCACCTACCCGTCTCTCTAGAACATACATTGAGGAACAAAATGACATATCATTTTTGTTTTTTGGTGCAGTAACAAATTGTATACATTCAAAAATCAACAACTAGTTTATGAATTTCCTTGCAGTTAGAATATTTTTTTAACTAGGTAGGCTGTGGAATAAATGACATTTGACATCAAGATTGCACTTGTTTTGACCTGTTGAACTTGAATATGTAAAAATATACAGGGTGTTCCATTTGAAAAAACAAAATTGCTGGCATTTCCAGATAAACCGGAAGTCCGCCATATTGGATTTCAATGTGATCAAATCCAAAATAGTTGCTTATATAACTGTACAGAATTTCAGAGAAATCCGTTAACGAATGCAGAAGTTACAGGGGTGGCCCGATAACCTGTGTCACCCGGTATACACCTAAAATTTCAATAGACAACTGAAATATTGTCATCTTATTTCAATATAAATATAAGTATGTTCATAATGTGATAATGAATATAATTTTCACGTTCACCTTGAGAAGTGCTGGTAAAAGGCACCTTCACTTGGGGGAAGCTCTGCAGACGGTTTTTTTAAGAACGTCAAACGTCGATTTTTTTCCTATTTTGAAAAAACTACTAGTTGTTTCGCAACCAGTAGAACAATGAAGTGCCAACAGACAAGAACACATTGTAGGTCCTGAACTTTGCACTACTTTTTCAATTGAGATAAATCGTTTGCTAGTACCGTGTCCAAGATGCATAAATAAATTACTTTTTTTCAACAAAAAAAGTGGATGAGTAAAATCTGCTGAATTCAGTTTCATGTATAATGTATAGCATGCAAAATAATCCTTGTATCTGCCTCTTCATGTTTGTTAAAAAATAGAGCCTTAACAATTTCCGAATGATGTTTATGCATTGAAACTACTTTTTCTGACATTTTAAATCCACTAGCTGTCATCAATATTTCATTTTCGTTCAAGTAGGTACTTTGCAGCGTTTTGTATTCTGTTTGGAAAAATAAGAACTGACTGTTTAATTTCATAAGATTTCAAAAAGTGTCGATATTTTTGTAATTTTCGGCTACCAATAACGTTAAAATGTGCTTATAGCTTTAACAGAATTTTCATTGTAGGTGTCAAAAACTACCACTGTTCGAAGTGCTCGACATCTGCGCCCAGCATTAATTACAGCTGTCAAAAAAGTCCTCTCTAAATCGTTAAAAGTTGAAACTCGCGTATTTTTGAAAATTAATCTTATTAGTCGGACTGTTTATGGATCATGGCTACAATGTATTCTTATTGTAAAAAAACTGATATGTTGCTGGTCCTCGCGGGCTTTACAAGAACTCTCGTGTTATACAAATATAGCGATAACTATATTCAGTACCTAAGGTGAGCACTTTAACGCCCTGTACCAACTCAACGAAACGATTTTGGATATAGGTAAGTGGGCTAAAATGAACTTATTTCTGTCCCAGGAGTCCACAGTCAAGCCATGTCCCAACCAGATTTTTTTTTTCAAATGCATAAGATGCCTCATATCATCAGAAATTATTTATTTGCAAATGAACCTCGAGACTCATCAACAATTAACACGATACAAAAAATATTCAACAGATATCAAACTTTCCTTCTTTTTTGTTCCAGTACTACTGCTGATAAGGCACATTTTTCTGATATCAAATGTTTGTGATTCAAACCGAGGTCCAGAATAATTTGAGGGTCCGGCCTCACTGTCATTTCGCAAAATTCTATTAATATTTTGAAAGCTTGTGTGCGATTTTTGGCAGTATGAGTGAAACTTCATTTTTAGGTCACTATTAAAAATTCTTTTTTTTTGCGACAGAATTTCTTTTGACCGATTGTCTTGTCTCCTCTCAGCACTTGCTATTAGTGACAACAATCCTTGTATTCTAGGTCTTTGTACCACAGATTTGTCATCATCCCGCACAATATTTCCACAAATAATACACTCCATTTTCTCAGAGAACTTCTTATAAATATCGGCGCATGTAGATGTTACGCTGAATGCCGTTTACATCAAACTAATCCACCCTCGTCTTTCGGTGGCGCGTGCCGATATTGAGCGAGCAATAAAAAAATCATTGTTGCTAAACTATACAAAATGGGGGAAAAATAATCAGCTCAAAAACTTCTATCATATATGGGCTCCATTTGTTCCGCTCTATGTATAAAAAAAAATCCAAAAATAAAAAAGTTTATCGATTGGTGCAAATTGTAATGCATAAATTTTGAATTCCATGCTCTCTTGATTTTTGAAAAATGGAAGAAGAAAATTTTGTAAAATCCATCGGTACTGTTAGAAGCGCTATTGTGTTTAGTTCAACCTAGAGAAAAAAACACTTCGATATCTTCATTGATTTCAAAGATATGACGGTGGAAACAAAAAAAATACATTTTATTTAAAGTGCATTTTTTTCAGTTTTTTCTCAGTTAAAAAGTTCCAGACCACAGAAAAATGTCGTAAAATACGATTTCATATACCTAGTGATATGGTCAACAAAACCTACCATGTCTGACCTGGTTCTACGTCAGAAAAAAAAACGGAAAAGTACACCTTCAAAACGAAAAATCGTGCTGAAAAGTTACTTTTTGCTCGTAGAAAAAGTATGTATAAAGATGTGCCTTATACAGGGGGGCTCACGGTCGATGGTACCTTAGACGTATACGGAAAACGGTACATTGGATTATATCCTGGTAAAGATCGCACGACTGATAGCTGAGATATAAAGTGTCATTTATAAAGTCGGCATCATATGGGAAAAACTTTTATTAATGACTTATTTTGCTTTTGCTTCAAAAAAGATGAAAAATGGCCTACTAAATCGGGGTCACGTGACTTTCCCTACATGTCAAAAGTGACATTTTTTCAAATTAATCGCTGAAAGTAGGCTTATTTGTTCGAATATCGAAAAAGTTCACTTGAAAAAGTTGTTTCTATTTACATTTTACATATGTGACTCGGATTTTATCTTTCTATCACATTTTTTAGATTTCGATATTTTTTCAAAATTTTCGAAATTTCTGTAATATTAAAAAAATTGTAAATTCGATAAAACTACTTAATACCAGTAGTTTCATCATGCTACTAACTTTCAATTACTAATTATCACTAATTATCGACAAAAATATGATTTTCTTCAGAAAATGATAATCTCCGCTTCAAAATTCTGTTATGTTTGATGCAAACATAACATCAAAATTCTGTTATGTTTGAGTCAAGCATTTAGAAACGAAATTCATTAAATTTTTTTTTTCAGTACTGAAAAGATCAGTTTAAATGAATTTCGTTTCTAAATGCTTGACGATATATCAACTTTGCATCAAACATAACAGAATTTGTAAGCGGGTATTATCATTTCCTGAAGAAAATCATATTTCTGTCCATAATCAATGATAATAAGTATTTGAAAGTAAGTAGCATGAAAAAGCTACTGGTATGAAGTAGTTTCGTGGAATTAACAATTCTTCAAATATTACAGAAATTTCGAAAAATTTAAAAAAAAATCAAAGTCTAAAAGTTGCAATAGAAAGATCAAATTTGAGAAGAATGTGTAAAATTGGAATAGAAACAACTTTTCCGAGTGAACTTTTTCGATATTCGAACAAATAAGCCTACTTTCAGCGATTAATTTGAAAAAATTTCACTTTTGACATGTAGCGAAAGTCACGTGACCCCGATTGAGTAGGCAATTTTTCATCTTTTTTGAAGCAAAACTTAACGTCCACCTCGATTTCCAAAATAAGTCATTGATAAAAGTTTTTCTCATATGATGCCGACTTTATGAATGACACTGTACATACATAGAGGGGGAGCCGTTTGAAATGAAATGCTTTCAGCGAATGTTTGTGCACGTTCAACATACTGACAATATTTGAGAATATTGTTTTAGGTAAGGGTCGCATATCGTGTACCTTAATAGGAAATAATCTACATTTCCTTATCGCTAATGAATTTTTCCATTACATGAAACAATTCGTTTCAGAATCAGACTAGGTAGGTATAGTAATTTTCAAAATATTTGATTTAGAAATGGGGTAAAATTTTCAAATGGACCATTTCATTCGTCCATCAGTTAATTTCAAAAGTTATTCAGGGCATAACGTTTTTAAATGAACACAGTGTATATCATTCTCATAGGGTTGGCCAGCCATTCAAAACGGAAGCTTGTAATTGGTATTACAAAACCTACCCACCCCCAGGCATGAAATTCCACAACAAAAAATTCTCGTAACTTTTCCCAAAGACGCCTAGTGACTGAAACCTGTCACAGCGACGTAAGCCAAAATTTCCGTACGATGTGCCCAGCTCAAATTTCAAAGTGAAGAAATGGAAAAAATAGCGACCGAGAATCTATTCCTGCTGGAATTCCTGGTAGACAACGTCGACATCGGGAAGAAATGCGAATGCGACTCCCCGCCAGGAGAAAAGTGCGTTTCCTTCCAGTTCCTGGACAACGCCCCTTTGGACGTTTGCGAAGCCGATTTCGCCCCCAAATCGGACCTGGGCAAAGACGAGAACATCAAAAGCGGGAAGTCATGCCTGTTTTCCCTGTCCCCTGACCAAGTCAACGACTGCCTGGCCAAGTTTGATATCCTGGTCACCGTGCACAAAAAGATGCAGCCTGGCTGGTTGCCCGAGAAAGTCGACATCGGGATAGCCCTGATATCCATTGCCAATCTCTTTGCGGAACTGGTGGAGAGTGTTTCGACTTCTGATGGTACTTCCCCAACTGCGAAGACGTTGAAGGACGTTTTCGATATCAGTACGCCGATTGAAGGCGGAGCTCCTCTAGGGAAAATAGGCGTTTACATACGGATGTCTTGCTTCGGGAAGTTGATTGTGACGCAGTTTCAGATGAATCTTCAGGACAAGTCGGTGTTGTTCAAGGATAAAGAGGGAAAGTCGCTTTACAGATACAAGAAAGCTGGAAAAGGTAATGATTTTTGTTTCGAAAGTGCAAGTTCGTATGTTAACTGCGGTACAAAATGAGTGGTCCGCCTAGATTATTTTCCTTTTTTCAAAATTAAATATTTTGTTCATAATATTTTGTAGGTAATTCTAATCCTCAGTGGGTTCAAGATTCCAAGAATTGTTTCAAAGAGATATTCCTATTACAATATAAAAAAAAATTGTGGCATATTCTCTGAATGCTTCATGTGTTTTTGCTTGCTAGCGATATAGGGTGTTCAAAATCGAGATTGTTCAACTTTATGATTGTTTTGTGTCGAAACTATTCATTATCGGTCAAACCGGCTCACATGTCCCTATCCCAACTTTTGATTCACTATTTACAGATATTTAATCGGAACAGATACAGGGTGGTTCAAGATTCAGAATTCTGAACACCCTATATATAGGTAACAAACAAATCCTAAAGTGGAAACATCTCAATTTGGAACACCCTATATCTCTGTAACCATTTTCGATAGATCCCAAGTGTGATGTATCGATGAAATCAGGGAGAATCTAAAAATGCAATAAATCACAGGGTATTCTGTATGAAATAACGAAGTTATTGTTGCAACTTTTTGATAGAAGCGGCAACACTGCATTGCTGAAAATATTTTAAATGAAGAGAGCGTATTCTAAAATATAAACATGCATATTTTGATGGATTTCTCCCAAGTGATTCCCGATATAGAGATAGTGTTAATCTCGTCGTGACATACCCTGTATGACATTCAATAACCGCGTTATTTGATGCCGCATTGTTCCGGGCATACTTCCGTCATGTGATAACGAGTTGAAACAAAAAGTAAATAAAAGGGGATAATGGTCCCTTTGTGAATATTCAAACGTGCCGCGATTCATACTGATCTAAGTTCATGTATTCATTTATTTATTTATCAAACATAACTTCCAGTCAGAACAAATTCTGATATGAGGAAGAACATAATAATTATAAAATAATAAGTAATAAATATCTATGAACTACTACACAAACATGAGTAGATGTGAACATGAATAATAAATCATAATAATCAATGATCAGAGAAAAGAATTCTAGTCAAGGACATAACTTACTGAAAAATTTTAAACATTTCTCTCAAAAATGATCAGTTTTTTCACTTTCTTTTTAAATGTACCTATATTTCTGCAGTTTTCAATTTCATCTGCTAGTTTATTGAACGTCAATATTTCTGAGAATATTTCGCCCCTTTCGAAAGATAATATACGATATGAACCAGAGGAAAACTGAACATAAGGAATTGAATCTCTATTTAAATACTTGTACTGGTCCATCGGATATCATCTTTCGACAGGGGCGAAATATTCTGAGATCAGAAATATCGACGTTCTGCCACTATAACAGCTCAGGTTGAATCGCGGCACGTTTGAATTCTCGCAAAGGGTTCATCATCAATTGGTTCGGGTTATCAAATCGCGAAATTGAGGGCAAATAACCGTACAGTATAGTGCCATTTTTCAATCATTTTGCTCAGAATAGTTATTTTCGAAAATGATGCTTATAGTAGGTATGATCAACTAACCGTGAAAGACACCAATTAACTGTGCAGTCAATGTTTCTAATGGTTGAGTTATTCATGCGCATGCTAACCCTAATCCTAAATCACCAAACAATACAGAGAGCTACATGGCATAGGTCCTTTATCTTTATTCATAACTTTATAAGCTTTCATATGCGTCTCATATTGTCTAACATTATTAACTTATTGTTTGACCAATTCCATGTAGGTAATTGATGTATTATGATTGTGTTCAAACGCATATGTTCAACCAATAAGGGTTCAGCTACACTCGATTCATGCAGGGTGTTCAATCTCAGACGAGTCACCCCGTATATTTCTCATCCGATAGTGAGTGGAAAAATGTCCAGAAACACGTCGAATGATTTTGTTTGGGGGACATCTTTGGACGTATATTTTAGGCTTGAACCAGCAACCCCTAATAGGGGGCGCTGGAACCGTTCGATAAATAAGAATGTTTTACATGACTTTGGGACATATATCATTTCGTTATCAGATGACGGTATAGAAATCTGCAGCCGGCTCTCCTACTATTTGTTGTAACTATAGTTTGTACCATTGTCTGCTAAATATGGAGAAAAAATCTAGTGAGCTGAACTACTGGTCTTCCCTACAGCTCAGTTGAGTGTAGGACCACTAGAGGATGCTACCGTATCGTACGAAATGATCTTCACTTTTTCTAGAAAATTTTCGAAATTTGTGGTTATGTAAGTTGTCACTAGTTGTCAGTGTCAAGAGCTGTCATGCCATCGTGACTTGTTTTGTATTTTTTTCTAAAATATCATTCTTTTTCAGTTCTCATCGTTCTAATATTCCTTTCGTTTATAGATATAGTTTTGTGTTGTGCTCCCAGTATTATAGTAGTTTATTCTGATTATCAATGTGTAACAAACTCTGTCTCCTCTTATTGTGCCTACTCAAACTCACTGAACAATCTACGCCACCGGCCAAGACTCATTTACGATTCTCAAGGTTATGTAGGTTTGACAGGAAAACAATTGAAATGAGTGTTTCCTCGAGTTGACCGTATGGCGGGACTACTGTATCGGCCACAGAACCCTGTAGGTGATTTCCCTTGTTTGGGCAGACCAGATACTCCAGTTCACTAGATTTTTTTCTCCATATTTAGCAGACAATGGTTTGTACAAACTGAACTTGATCATGCAATATCGATATTTCATCTTCTCAGGCAAAGAAAAATCCGACAAGTGCAATCCGAGACAACCGCAATCCCCTCAGCAGCAAAGACAACAGCAACCCTACAACTCCGACTGCCCAAAAACCCCCTGCGGCTCACCCCAAATGCCCAACCAAATGCCCAACGCCAACACCAACTGCCCTCTCTCCCCCTGTCCCATGGATCAACTCCGCTACCAAAACACACCACCCTCCCAGAACTACAACCAAGCCCCTTGCAACGAATGCGGCGCGATACCAAACGCCCCTTGTTTCTCCCAAGGAGACGCCGCAATGGGCATGAACATGGGCATGGGCTACCCGCAGCAAATGCTGCCGCCCTGCATGGAATGCGGCAGCATGCCCTACCCGCCCTGCCTCCCTCAAGCAGGCTTCAATCAGCGACCCAACACCCCGTGCGAGGAGTGTATGTACCTCCCCGAACCGCCCTGCGCTCAGGGGCAATCCGCCGAGGAACCAGAGGGCAACTACCAGGAGATCGGGGCAGCCATGGGCGGCAATTCGCTCACTATACGCGTGCACAAGGACAAGAACAAGGTGGAGCAGCTGGACCCTAACGCGCCGGGCGGATCTATAGCCTCGGACAGTAACGACTGCTCCTGCCTGCCCGGCCGCCCAGGGAAGAAGACCAGGCCAGGGCAGGCGCTCTCTCTAGGTAGGAAACTAATCATGGGCGTATTTGACAAGCGTCTTTCGACACAACCATCTTGGCACATCCAAGGTCACATATGATTTGTCATATGTCAATTATGTCAAGAGGTGCAAAATATTTAAATTTTTTTTAATAGGGGATCCGATTATCGCGTAGAAGTCGTAGAATTTAGATTCTTCAACTGAGTTTATATTTTATAATATCTCGTCGTAGGTCAAAAGACACAGAGGTAGCTGTGATGAATGTCATTTCAGATATTCAGTTACGAATAGATGACAATCACAAATGCGGCATTCTGTCTTTGGATCTGTGTAAGGCCTTTGACACTGTAAATCATAATATTTTATTGGCTAAATTATCATCAATAGGTGTCAGAGGAAAAATTCATGATTGGTTTCAAAATTGTTTGAAGAATAGGAAACAGTATGTTGATGTGAATAATACTCGTAGTTCCTTGATGAATATTTCATATGTAGTGTACCGCAAGGGTCAGTTTTGGGGCCAATTTTATTTTTAATTTACATTAACTCAATATCTACTTTAAAATTGAAAGAAAAACTTAAATGTTTTGCAGTTAATACAACAATGATATATACTTTAAAAGATTTCAATGATATCAATAATGATATTAAAAATGATTTGAAACAAATATCATCTTGGCTAACGACCAGTAAGTTGCCTCTTAATTATAGTAAATCTACGTATATCTCAAAAAGAACAAAGGATATATTAAATAATACCCCAATATCCCAGGCAACCAGATGACGAATGATCACGTCACAGTGACGTCCCTAATTGGTGATTTTTCGTCAGAGACGTCACACACCAATTTATGACGTCACTATGACGTACTTTCTATGACGTGATAATCAACGTCATTTAGATGGGTAAAAGGAAACGTCAGTTTCATGACGTTGCAGGAACGTCCTGTCGACGTCTATTTTTCCCAGACCTTCTCTAAACCATGAATACTTATATATTATCATGTGAAACAAAAGTATATTCCATGAAAGCAAATCAACATGCGAGTTTCATTCTAATTATTAATATACCCGAAAAGTAGTAGAAAAACTTTTTTCTAAAAAACTTTGACACTGTATATCTCGGAAACCAACAAGCTATGTATATACAAAAATTATTGTTTAGGTATACCTATATGGAAACCGTTACTCTTATGACGTTGCAGTGACGTATCTATGACGTCTAAAAATCACGTCGGTGTGACGTACCAATTTGGTGAGCTTCGTAATTTAGTAAATTTTTCAATAATTTGCTATTCAGATTTTTGTTGGGTGACAAAGAATGCATTAATATACATTATTCAACAAAGTGAAGCCAAATTCGCCAACATCCTTTCCATTATTGCTATCAAACTATTTTTTGTTTACTTGTATCTCGCCGACACAAACAACATAATTTTTGATACAAATACGAGTAACTGATTGCATTCTGATGGAGATGCGTATTGAAGGATGGCGCTGCTGAATAGGCGATTGAATGAACATGACACAGGAGGGACCCACCAAGCAGACAACGATGCATAATCAATATTATATAATGTCATCAGAATCAGAGGCTAGTGGTGTTTATCATACTATGTTGAAGGAATCTTTTTTACGTATCATCGGAAAATTCAATCGTCATTTTGACGTCATTATGACGTCAGTCGGACGTCACAGTTTGGTGAGTGAATGACGTCAATACGACGTGAGTAATATGACGTCATTGGGCTGTGACTTATTCACGTCATTATCACGTCAATGCGACGTCAACTACTGACGTCACCTTGGTCATTCAAGTGACGTAAAGAAGACGTCACTGGAACGTCATCTGGTTGCCTGGGATGTTTCAATAACAAATCCATTGAATATACAAATGTAACAAAATTTTTAGGTCTTTATATTGATGAACAATTATCGTGGACTCTACATATAGATCAATTGAGGAAAAAATTAAATCCTATTGCTGGTATTATATATAAAATTCGAAATTTCATTCCTGTTAGATACCTAAAGAGTATTTATTTCTGTCTTTTTTATTCAAATAAACAATATCTAATATCAATTTGGAGAAGTACAAATATATCACGTTTGAAGCCACTCATGAAATTACAAAATAAAAAAACAATAAAGTACATTTTCAATTTACCTCTTAGAATCAACTGTGAATCTATACAAACCTAAAGACTTGCTGAATCTAGTTTCATTATATAAACTCAAAATTTGTTGTTTTATTCATTTTGTCAGGAAGGAATTGAAAATATCGAATTTGAATTTTAATGAAGTTAATACGATTCACGCCCATGAAACAAGGCAATATAATTTATTGATAGCAAATGATTATAAGCCAAATTTTGGTAAACAATCTACATTCCATAATGTAATAATTTTATGTAACTCCTTACCTAATGAGTTGAAAAATATAGAAGAAGCAGAAAAATTTGAAATCAAATTAAAGAAATATCTGCTCAGTAAACTTTAATTCCATATTTACTAATAGTACTAATCATTCACAATTTGATTACTTATAATGATTTATAATATTATCATTTTATATTTTATTATAATTTTTCATGAAAAACAATAATTGTGCAATCATTATTGTTTCGATTTATTATGTTATATATATTTTTTGTTGTATACAGGGTGTCCCTAGACCAGTGGGACAGTTGAATATCTCCTGAACTAATAGGAATTTTCTAAATATTATAATTTCACATCATATCGCATTATGAGTGCTAACTTCAGGAATGACTATATTTTATACGAGGGGCGCAAGAAAGGCTCACAAAATCGAACATCATTTTTTTCAAATGGAACACCCTGTATTTCATTGCATTTTCATATTCTCCTTGAAGAGCTGAATTCAACGACCTATAGCACACTTGGGGTCTAGCGGGTGTGATTTCCGAGATAGGGTGTGGAAAATCGAGATTTTTCATTTTTGGGAATTTTTTGTGTCTAACCTATTCCTTATTGGTCAAAACGGCTTACATGTTCATGTCTTAACTTTTGATTTACTAATTACTGGTATTTAATTGAAACAAATACAGGGCGGTGTAGAATTCTGACTGAAACTGAGAATTCTACACCACCCTGTATTTGTTTCAATTAAATACGAGTAAATAGTAAATCAAAAGTTGTGATATAAACATGTGAGCCGTTTTGATCAATAATGAATAGTTTTGACACAAAAAATTCCCAAAAGTGAAAAATCTCGATTTTCCACACCCTATATCTCGGAAATCACACCCGCTAGACCCCAAGTGTGCTAGGTCGTTGAATTCAGCTCTTCAAGAAGAATATGAAAATGCAATGAAATACAGGGTGTTCCCTTTGAAAAAAATGCTGTTCGATTTTGTGAGCCTCTCTTGCGCCCCTCGTATAAAATATAGTCATTCCTGAAGTTAGCACTCATAATGCGATATGATGTGAAATTATAATATTTTGAAAATTCCTATTGGTTCAAAAGATATTTAACTGTCCCACTGGTCTAGGGACACCCTGTATATCCCTATTATAAACAATAATGTTTCTTGGGGTAATAAAGACAATCAATCAATATATTCATGATGTTCAACCAGGGATGCGGCCGGGGATCCAACAAGGCAACCAGAACCTGCCCTTCTCCTTCAGGATGGGCGGCAGGCCGGGCCAAGCGGACAACAACGTGGTGGTAAACCCGCCCGTGGCAACCGCCCCTGATGGCACCCAATTCACCGAGTTCTCCGATCCCAACAAGGAGATGTTCGTGTTGCGCATAGGGAAGAAGAGCGAGGGGGTGGACAAGCGGCAGAACCTGGAGTTGGAGTTGTGTACGCCGAAAGGGCCGGATTTGAAGCCGATCCCGAAGAAGGAGACGCGAGACACTCAGTACGATCCTCTGGACGCCGGACCGGAGGTGGGGGAGGGGAAGAAAGGGGGCAAGGGCAAGGATAAAGGGAAGGGAAAGGGGAAGGGGAAGAAGAAATGAGATGGGATGTAGCGTCGGGTTTTTCATCAACTTTGCAATAGCTTAACTGCTTAAATAGTATACTGTTGGGTGAATAAAACTCGTAACTGAAATACTTTTCATATTATATATTGATTCTGTTGAGGTAAGATGATTGTTTATCACAAAATAGGTTCTAAAACCAATAATAAAATGTGCATGTTGGAAATTTTGCAACAATCTCGTGTTTTCATTTTCAAAGGACATTTTCTGGTTGTTTGTACAGGCTGTCCCATTTTCAATGTCCTTACGGGATATATCACATTTATTTTCAAAAATAGAGATTTGCCGAACGTTGGCTTCTTTTTTGTGAAACTGACGATACCGCAAACAAAATTTTCATAACTCGCTTCCTTTCTGAGATATAGGAGGAAATTGAAAATGCTGCATTTTGGGACCTCCCCCCCTATCTCAGCCATCTTTAAACTTATCGGAACGTAAAAACTGTTTCTCATACATTTTACTACGTAGAATCTAGTGGCGTAGTCACATTTCCAGATTAAGTTGTCATTATTCAGATATAACCCAATGTTATGTTTTTCTAAATGGAACACACTGTATATTTTTTCTTATTCGAAACATTGATGCTTTGCGCTTTCCGAAAATAAAAAAACACTTATAAGATATTTTAATTATTAGCCATGAATTTAGATGATGTCTACACCTCCAATTTTGGAGGTTTGGAGCCAAGTTAATTTCAAAAAGTATCAATTGTAATTCAAATCACTCATTTTAATTTCAAAAAGTATCAAAAGTATTTTAAAATTATCATTTCAATTTCAAAATGCGTCATTTGTATTTCAAATTAGTCATTTTAATTTCAAAAAGTATCGAATGTATTTCAAAATCATCAATTCAAGTTAAGGAGGGGTTTACCCTCTGAAAAAGGTCAAACTTAATCTAAGGTGTAAAGGGGGAAGTAAAAATCCTGTCCGAAGGAGGCGGGGCCCGATAACGAAGGAAGTCGTCTAGTGTCTCACTCCAACTCATTCTAGCGTAAAATATTTCAACATTTATAGTAAAAGCGGCCTTGAGTGTTACCCCTTGAGGCATCTGCGGTCGTCTGAATTCTCCGAATAAGTTCCACAGGCACAGCTCACAAGTTGTGCTTTAGGCAATATACATCAGTATTCCGTAAAAATATGCATAGGCCGAAATCCGAAATGGAATATGAGTATGGAGTAATAAAATTAAAATTGTTTTCAACATTATGATGGATATTTCGCATATGAATGAGTATTAATTCATATAGCTAATGATAATAATATTAGGCCGGATGCTAGTATAGGTACATACCCAGTGTTCATTTGAAAGTTTTCCAACCGCCATGTCTCGGTTCTCGAAAAATCGCCGAGACAGGTAAACAATAACTATGAGGAGGACATGTTTTCACGTAAAAATCACCTTGCTCGTTTCATCCCCTTTGCCTTCACTGATGCCAGCCGCCAGTCCCTCAAAAATGTTAAATGATATATTGTAGGGGTGAGAAGTTTTCAAAAGAATATACCCGGTATACCTATATGAGCATAAATTAGTGGTATGTATAAACTCAACTGCAAAAACATAATTCGAAAGTACCAATCTGAATAATAGAAAGATAGCAAAAACAGTTCAAGTTAGGGTTAAACCCCTCTTAAGATGCGTCAATTGTATTTCAAATTGGTCATTTCAATTTCAAAGAATTCCATCTCAAATTCAAAATCCATCATTTCGTTTTCCAAACAAATCATTTCTATTGATGATGCCACAATGATAAGAACCAGAAGCCAGAAACGTATTCCAATAACATAGTGAATGAAAATATCACTTAACGCGAATCTAACCTTTGCCTGTGCTTCTTCAGTTTTGAAATTCAAATAATGCATTATAAAATACATTTAATAATTTTTTAATACATTTGATACTTCTCGTAACCAAATTGACTAATTTGAAATCCAAATGACAGTTTGAAAATACAATTGACCATTTTTTAACTAAAAATTGGAAAAGGTGTAGTTTTTCAGTAGATTTTGTATCGATGAAACTTGTCCATATCACAAATTTTTATATTGGCCTTGTTGCTGATACAGAGTTTTGTCACACACGAGTTTAAATTTTACCAACATTCAACATTTACCAATATTCAGTACTATTTATTGACTATAAAAGCTGTAGACCTATAATTAGTAGGTGGCTATGAGAATGAAGCGAGTGCAGAATGATTTATAATCTTGTGAGCCGCCTGTCGAATTTACAAATTTTTCATACAGCGGCAAATAATAATCCAGGATATCGAAACTACGAAAATTTAGAAACCAGAGCTCACCTATATCCCAACCATATAAATATAAACATTTAAAAATCATAACTTTGGGTTATATCTGAAAAATATCAGCTCATTTTGGAAATACTCACTAAGCCACTGAATTCCACGAAGAAATGTATAAAGGGCAGTTTTTACTTTTTTGATAAAATGAAAGATAACTGAGATACGGGGGCGGTCCCAAATTGCAACAGTCTCAATTTCGCCCTGTATCTCAAAAACGAGTTTGTATCAGTCATATATATTCTCGACTCACCCTGTATAATGGCTGGGGGCAGGTGAAAAAAATTCAACTTGTCCAAGTACTTATTGATGATGATAGTCTTACATTCTATTTACCATTTACCTAACAACTAACACCCAGTATATATACTCGCGTGACAGGTAAAGAGCAACACAGATGCAGTGTTGCCAACACGTGAGGTACAAATGTAATTAGATACCTACTTGTTCGCCATTTACATTTATTAGCTAATAGTACTAGGCATCAATGAAATTTGCTGCCGTGTGAAACATATAATTTTTTTCTCCAAATGCTATAATAGGATATTGTTTTATTAGGATCAAAAGTGACTTTGTTTGACTCGCAAATTTTGCTTTCGCTCGGCTTCGCTAGACGCTCCTCCTCGCATAGGCAAACCCAGCCAACCATCGTGTGACATCAACATCTGTGTGATGTAACAACCTTGCATAAATGCAATATCTCGTTAACACATCTTATCGACGTAGATTCGATATCAACGTCGTAAGGTGACATCGCAACCAGGAATTTATGTAATGAGGCAGCGACTTCTTCAAACTACATCTCTTCGACGTTAACTAAATAATTCACATTGATATCCTCATGAGATATCTTTGTGACCTGTGAGTGTGACGCAGACATGCGCAAAACGAACGCACACGCCAGACGCCATGTTGAGCTGTGCATGGCCATGTCAGTCAGTCAGTCAGTCAGCCAGTCAGTGAGTCCGACTCCGTACAGACTATTTCCTTCCAAATTCTCTGTTGAAATATCTGAGATGATTTATAGCACATATTATAGCAGCTTCAAATGGGAGGTATACAATCATTTATTTAGGAACGACGGTGAGTTCAATCGCAATAGGTAATATTGTAATTATCTCTGAGATAGGAATATTGCAATCTAAAACAAGGTGAATGAAAGATCCGAAGTGTGTAAGTGTATTTGATATGTATCATTTATGAATAATGTATATTTGTATTGCTATATATATGTCTCATGTTTTACTTCAAGATTACTAATTAGGGTGATTGTCATGATAAGTTTTGTATCATCTGTTTTTACTTTCGGAAAATAAATATTTTCGTCGTAAAGTTGAATAATTATTATTATTATATATCCCACGAATATCACAGGTACGGCGACCACATCATCGATGTCGCAGTGTGTTGTATTTGTAATATGAAATGTACACTTGTATGTGACCTGGTAGTGATTTTTCATGTGATGTCGCATTTCATGTCTGAACGACGTCACAGTGATGTTGCTTGAGTCGGACATTTTCACATCGCCACGTTGTATCGGTAACATGTTTGTGACTCCAAATGCGATATCGCATGTCACAAAGTGATGTGGCGAATACATCACATACATCTCATGGTTGGCTGGGAAATTCGCTTGTCAAACAAAGTGTCACTTTTGATCCGAATGAAACATGCTATTATTTCTGTAATCGAAAGAATTAACTAAAATAAATATGTGAAGTAACCACCAATGTGACTCACTTGACAGATTATTATAATACCTTTATTACAATAATATGAGTAAGTAGGTATAGAAGCAAGAGGCACGAATCCGATACTATACCCGAAACGTGGATGCTGTGCAATGCAACAAATAATCTGTGTGGTGAGAATATTCTACCTGCATTTACAGATCAGGTTTATTCAATTTTCAAGGATGTTCGAATTGTAGTTTCCTTTAGTTTCAATTTAAATACAACCACAGAGTGACTCATTTGTGTATGGACCAGGTCTCAGCCCTAATAGCAAATACCGCCCCATTTCCAGGTATAGGAAAAATACGTGGAAAATGTTAGGTTAGTGAGCATATCAACAATAATAGTGACTATTTCTCGCCATAATTCACTGTGTTTGGTTCGGTAATCAAAAGAAGGTAAACAATATAGTTGTGTGAGATAAAAAAGTATTGCCGGCCGTGATTATTCAAAAACAAGTTATCCCTCCCGAGAATAACGAATGAAATACAGATCAGTGCCGGATTAGCCACGTAGCAAGAGTAGCAAATGCTACGCGCCCCGCGAATTGGGGGCCCCGCGCTATAACGCCTAGGAAAAATATCTGGCATGTCTTGAACGCGAGTCGAGATCTGACCGACCGTGAAGAATACCAGCCACAGACATCAAGACGAATCCAGCGGCTGTAGCCACACTCGACGAGATTGTTGAAAATGAAACACCTGGTCAACATTTTGAAGTTCAGGTGTTTATTTTCAAAAATCAAACACCTGGACAACATTTTGAAGTTTAGGTGTTTATTGTCATTAATGTCATTATTGATAACTTACTGTCTGTTTTAACTAAACGTATGAAAGCATATCATAAAATTACTAGTGTTTTTGGAGTATTTTGAGAGCTAAAATGTCTGACAACAGAAGAGATTTTGGAAAAATCCTCAATAATGGTGTGCTCACAAAGATGATTTGGAAACCAGCCTATTGGGCGTGTACACCTTAGTAGAACGTTTAACGACTCAAACCATGTTTATAGTATCCTTTTATACATAAATAATGATTGACGACATAATTCGATCGAGAAATTAACTGGAATGTTTTATTTTTGGACATAAATAATAGTACCTTCTGAAAACGGACCTTCTAATGACGTAGAAACCTCATCTCGCCATAGTTGAAAGAAAATACCAAACGCCCGACGGAGACTCAGGCAACTGATATATTAATTCTTTCAACTGTGATCTCGCGCTAATTAACTCTGTCAGAAATCATGTATCATCTTTCATTCATCTCTGTCTAGAATAGTTTCGTTTCTGTATTAGGGTTTTGACGTCACATCATCGCCTCGTTTTCAGAGGTCCGAAAAATCGGGGATTTCAATAATTTTTTTATAAAACGTAGGGAGCTCACAGCAAGAAACGGTTTGCGGTGGTGAGCTAGTTTGGGTGAGTTCTATCGAATTCTGAAATAAAAATTTCTCGTGATATAAGCCCATTAGTACAGTTTGTGACTTGCTGGAAGCGAATGTCGCTACTGTCATTCACAGCAACAAACCTCTGGTCTGGAGGAGCCTCTGGAACTGCATTCTTACATTTATAAACTCTTATTATAATTAATTCCTTAGAATCGTGTTTCCCAAACGTAGAAATTTCTGTGCGAATTCGCACTTGTCTCTCATTGCCCATATTAAATCCAGAAAAGTTTATTTGTAATAGTTTTGGATTATTTTATTTAATACCTTCAACCTGCGAACATGTGCGGTTGGCTTCTTGTTTTTTGACTCCGTCGATTTGTTGTTTCGTCTTCCACCAAGTGTTGCCTGTCTTTTGCACTTCTTTCACCGTACTGATGAGGGCCAAAAGCCCGAAACACGTGTCTACGGTTAACTCTTCCTGAGGGCTCTATGTCCAATAATCTTTTCCTAGTTTGCTAAAAACAGTTCCTTCAATATTCCTTCCCAGCGAGCACAAACATCCCTGGGATGTTTTGGGATGTTTTAAAAATGTTGGCATGGACGTAATATGCACTTATAGATCAAAGAGGTCTTTGAAGGATATTGAAGTATTGTTTTTGTTCTTCTGTGGCATTTCTTTGTTTGCCTACTGAGAGGTATCCCTGGGATGTTTTGGGATGTTTTAGAAATGTAGGCATGAGGATGTTTTTTTGAGGCGTAAAATGCACTTCCCAAAGAGGTCTTAGAAGGATATTGAAAGTATTGTTTTTGTTCTTTTGTGCCCTTTCTTTGTTTGCCCCACCACAACGTCTCATGCTTACGTCACAATACGATGAATTCTGATTTGTTTTCGATTTTGTTCTTCTTTTTCGCAATTGGCATTCGCGTTTGCAGCGTGTCATGCTTACACCACGCTGCTAACGAACAGAAAGGAATTTGGTAAAGTTTATTGTGTTAGAAGACTTATTTAGTTTGTAATAATGACCATCAGATGCAAGATGTGTTGTTCGGTGCCTCAGTGTAATCAATATATAAAAGTACGAATTTATCAATACACAACTTCTCCGCAGTTGAAAAATTATGCATTGTGGAGAACATTTCAAAAATTGGGAAACCTATTTCCAATTATATGTCTGTGTGTAGTAAAGCACTACTCAGAAACCGATTAAGGAGGTAATTTCATATCAAGAAAATATTTTTATGTTCAATCTATTTTTAATGCATTTTTTCATTCAAGGGAAATGGAATCCTAGTGCAAAAGTTCATTTTGACAAAAGGCTTCAGAAAAGTAACTCGAAAATGGTTTTTTTTTACAGCGATTTAATGTGCGCAAGACGCTTTGAAAATGTTTTGTTGTGTCCATGAAAAGGCTTCAAGAAGAACTAGGGAGAAGGTAGTTTTGTGATATATCAGGGACATCTCGATAATTGCCGCCTGCGGCGGACATTGGCTGTTCTATAATAGTTCTATTCATGTGTGAACAGAACATCGCAGTGGAGGTTCAATGTCTCGAAACCTCGTACTTTTAACATCTCTGAGATGTTTTTGTGCTCGCTGGGTTCCATCTTAGACCTAGCTATAGATCGGCCGATCTGGCAACACTCTCAACGTGTACGTACGATATCCAAGTACGATACGATACGTTGCGCACTGAATGTTTCCCTTCCCTCTCGTATTTCGATTCATAAATTTTTACCTATTTTTGTTTGACTTGAATTGTGGATCTGCTGGTGCGTGCTGCGACTGCTGCGTGTTCTGTTTGTTGTGTCCAAATTCAACGGTGTCCTGTTCGTCCTGTCCAAACTGAATGGTATGAAACCTTTTTTTTTCAGTAATGTGATGTACTCCTACTGAAATACACATTTTGTTCAACCGGTTTCAGTCATATTTAAGCATTATAATCATTAAGAATTGAGGTTAGAATTTCTTCGTTCAAGCACCAAAAGGGATTATTTACCAAGTATATAAGGAAATATAATACCAGTTTCATTCATACTTTGATTGGAGCTTTCAAAAATTATGAAACGTAATATTTGGATAGCCATTTTCAAAACCTACCACGTTTTCAGGATTTCATGAAAATATGGTAGACAATTTGTACCTAATAATATGTTCGAGAATATATTTAATGATTTCATTAATAAGAAAATTGATCCTGATGTGATATTTGATCTTCAAATATTTAAATTATCATAGGTACATCAGGTAGGTATAGGTTATAAGGTATATTATGAGATATAATATGATAATGTTGCATCATCCTCTATACCTACGACTACGACCATAGGACTCTCTACTAGGTATAATATAAGTCTACTATTGTCTACTCGAGTGTCTACTATTGAAATAAAAATAGTATGAAACTAAACCTCTAAGTTCATCTTGCCTGTATGTAAGCACAACGTATATTACATCATCCATTTTCAGCCACTGAACCTGTGTCCTGTGTGTTTTCAGTTTCATCGACGCATGCATAATAATTATGAATTGGCGTCGATCGTCGATGACGAATCATTTTCCTATTTACATTGTGGCGCCTGGCGCCAAATCACTCAAATTGGTTTTCTCAATTTCCTTTCCTTTACACTACACTCAGTAGCTATCAGTAGTATCAGTAGCTATCCTCGTAGCTCTATCTAACTATTTACCCGCCAACAATCTGATCAGCTCATCTTTGATTTTTAGGTAAGAATTCATTTTCTACTCGGTTGTTTTTGTATTGTACAGTGTGTTCAGTTTTCGATGCTTTTGAGTGATATCTCAGTTATCTCTCGAGATAGAACCTTGCGGTTTTCGCGGTCCTGTGTCCCTTTTTTATGAAACTCGAAATGGCCTTATCAGATTTTGCATAACTGTTTCCGTTTATGAGATACAGAGCGATTTTGAAAATTTTACTCTATATCTTCGAAGTTTCTCAGCGAAAATGTCAAATTGAGAACTTATCCCATAGAGAATTTTACGCAGAATCCAGTGTCGAATTCAAAATTTTTTGTCGGGGTATAGTTACGACTCAAACTTATGATTTTTTGAATAGAACACCCTGTATTTCATAAGCTCATTAAATTTCTCATTTTTTTCTCTTCAAGATGATATATAACATTTTCAAAAATGCTCCAAAATCACTAAAACATTGAATTTTAATAGTGGGCTATGGATTTTTCATGTGAAAAAATTCCAATTGAAGGAATATTTATTTTGATTTCTCCACGAAGAGGACAAAAACAATACTTACACTAATTTACTAAGAAAACACAAAAATAAGGTACCTGATACCAACATATAAATAGTAATAAAAAGTTTATCTTGAAGAACTTCGTGCAACAACAGAGGCAGTTTTCCAGGAATTACAAAGACATCCTTTAATGATTTTAAATGCATTGAGACGTATTGAGAAAGTGTGTGAGGAAAAATGATTTGAACAATTCAATGAATTAGTTACTGATTAATTTCAAAATTCAATTGTCTTAGTGAATATTCAATCAGGTGCTTATTTTATATTATGAACTATTTATTTGTTGCTATCAGGTACAGGGTGATTCACCATAAATGTCCCCCCCCCCTCTAGCTCACTTATTTTTGAACCGATTCAAAAATTTGAAGAATCATCTAAAATTTTTTTCCTGTTGCATCAGAAAATATAGGGTGCTCGGAACAAACGATCTACAGAGTACTACTTGATTTTTTCAAATGGAACACCCTGCATTTCATTGTATTTTTAGAGCCTCCCTGAAGAGGTGATTTCATCAATATATCACACTTGGGATCTAGCGGGAATTATTACAGAGATATAGGGTTCAAAATCGAGATTTTTCAACTTAAGGATTTTTTATTTGTGTCGAAACTATTCCTAATTGGTCAAAACGGCTTACATGTCCGTCATAACTTTTGATTTACTATCTACTGACATTTAATTGGAACATATACAGTGTGGTTCAAGATTCAGAATTCTGATCAGCGAGTATCTGTTCCAATTATTAAATGTTAGTAGATAGTAAATCAAAAGTTAAGAAACGGGCATGAAAGCCGTTTCGACCGATGATGAATAGTTTCGTCACAGAAAAATCCTAAAGTTGTGAAAAATCTCGATTTTGAACACCCTTTATCTCTGTAATCATTTTCGCTAGACCCCTAGTGTGATACATTGATGAAATCAGCTCTTCAGGGAGAATCTAAAAATACAATGAAAAATAGGGTGTTCCATTTAAAAAAATCTAATAGTACCCTGTATATCGTTTGTTCCGAGCACCTTGTATTTTCTGATGTAGCGGAAAAAAACTCTATCCAAAATCATTTTAGATGATATTTAAAATTTTGCATTCGGTTCAAAAATAACTGAGCTAGAGGAGGGGGGGGGGGCATTTATGGTGAATCACACTGTACCTAATTTTTGTGTTTTCTTAGTTCATGAGTGTTGGGATTGTTCTTGTCCTCTTCATGGAAAAATTAAATGAAATATAATAAAATTCAATGTTTTAATGATTTTGGAGCATTTTTGAAAATTTCATATTCATACATTATATTTCATTTTGATATCACACGATACGTAGGCTAATAAAATTAAATCGAAAAAACCAGTTTTGAGGAATTAATCTCCAGCAAACTGGAAATCGTTTTAATACCTCTATTTGGTCCTAAATGCGTGTAATCTGAGTTTGCACCATGTCAGGTGGTGAGCTTAACTTTTGATAGCCAAAAAACCGCCACATTTTTGCACTTTTTTTATTTTTTTGCTTATAGCTGCAAAACGGTGCGTCGGACAGAAAATGTTATTCCATTCAATAATACAGAGGACAAAATTCTGCGTCGAATGACATCTGAAAACATCAAATTCCGTTCAGAGGTATAGCCGAAATCGAATGTTAAAAAAAAGAAAATTTCGTAGTTCGGTGCAACTCGTGCGCGAAATACTTTGGTGATTTCGACTATTTTTTAACTTGGCTGCGCCTCGTTGAAAAAATCAGCTCTCGATCACCAAAGTAGCATTTCGCGCACTAGATGAAAAATAATTATAAATTGATGCAAAATTTGGGACCGAAGCTGAACCGGGCATTCAGATATCCGGATAATTGGACAAATCAAGAAAACTTAAACATTTGGACATCTATCTATATAACGTAAAATTTTATTCTCTACAACTTTTATTTTATGGGTTTTTTCAATAGGAGTATCTGTTTTCACGATATGTCGTCTTAGAAAGCCGCAAAATGTAAGCTTGCACCGAACTACGAAATTTTCTTCTTTTTTAACATTCGATTTCGGCTATACTACTAAACGGAATTTGATGTTTTCAGATGTCATTCGAAGCAGAATTTTGCCTTCTATATTATTGAATGGAATGACATTTTTCGACCGATGAACCATTTTGCAGCTATAAGCAAAAACATAAAAAAAGTGCAAAAATTTGGCGGTTTTTTGGCTATCAAAAGTTAAGCTCAACTCCTGGAATAGTGCAAACTTAGATTACACGCATTTGGGACCGAATGAAGGTAATTAAATGATTTCCAGCTTGCTGGAAATTAATTCCTCAAAATATAATTATTTGATTGGCCTAACGATCGAATCTTTCCTGTTGATCAAAATTGGGAAAAAAACTTTTGCGAAGAGTGCTTTTACACTCTGTAGTTATTATTGATTGATAGTCTAATATGCAGATGAAGCGAACATTTAATCAAACAAAAGATTATTATCGTGAATCTGCGTCACACTTTTTCACGTTAACTTACCTACCTAAATGTGTACCCGTGTGTACCGTGGGTATGATAATATATTAATAAATTGCTGAGTATTATGTGATTGAATGACTAGGCACTTATCAGAACTGTTCATCTGTGATACTAACCTTGATTTTCCTCTAGTCATCTCTGTTCATCGCATAATGTAAACAGAAATAGTTATACGGAATAAACAAGTTCAGTAAACACGGCCTATCTATTTTCCTACTAATAAGACTCGTATAAATATCGCAACAATGCTTCGTCAATATTGTTTGTTTTCGTCCGTATTCGGCTATCATGAAAAATTTGCAAACTCATCCAAACTGAAAGCTCATTCGACCACATGTTTTTTATTTTAACATGTCAACATTTTATTACGTTTTGGTTAATTCAACCAGCATTACGTAAATCATACCTAGTCGAACATTCGGAATTGAACTGATAGAACTGGATCATCCATAAAACTAGAATATACGTCTGTTGGTTCTCTTGATACTGACAAAACATTTCGTTGAATAATCTTGAAAAGGAATATTCTCAGATATAATTATGAACATAAAAAAATGGATATACATATATATACAAAATACATTGAGAATTCGCATTCTCTATGTGATGAAAATATCAATTCTTTCTCGGTTTATTCAACAGAAAACAACTACTTTCCTGGTATATGCCACGATGAACATTATATCTATTGAACACACACGATAAGAATTTGAAAACAAAATCGTCTGAAGTAGAGTATTTGCATTCTCATTCATATAAAGATATGCACATAATATCATTCTGACTATTCAACAGAAAACAACTACTTTCCTGGCAATTTGCCACGTCGAACATTCGATTATTGGGATTTTAACCTTCATTATCTCGCGCTGTCATTCTGTCAAAAATGATATGTTTTTGACGCCAAGTGTGATCTGTCAAAATTTTAATTTTGCCAGAACGACTCGAAAGATATGTTTACCATATTCGGTTGTATAAACAAATAATCAAATAATAATCAGTCACACAATTGAATGAATAATTATATTATAACCTTCAATAGTATTGCCAAATTATCACACTTGATGATCACGTGATATACGCCGTC